ACAGTAATATTATCTTCATGAGGACATTTAGCTGCTACTTCCTGTTGGTGTGTTCAAGGACAGTCGGACATCTGACCCTGGATGTCTGCTGCTGAACACGAGACGATGAATTGGGATTTAAAACGTCTGATTTTAGATAAATTCTCTGAGCAACGATATCAACGATCAGCAGAATTCATACTGTCAGAATAAAAGCTGCTATTAGTTAAGCTGCAGTTCCTCTAACGGCCACTAGAGGCTGGCTCCAGCAGTGAGTCTCCATAAGGAACCATATTAAAACTTTACAGCAGAAATATTGTAAAGAAATATAAATAAAAATAAACACGTTTACAGTCTTTTGGTCTCTAGAGATAATTTCCCTTCATGACGACTGTACAAGTCTGTTTAAAAGATATTAAGGATTAAAGACTACGGACTGTTTATTATTATTATTATTATTATTATTATTATTATTGTTATTATTATTATTATTGTTGTTGTTGTTATTATTATTATTATTATTGTTGTTATTATTATTGTTGTTATTGTTGTTGTTATTATTATTGTTGTTATTATTGTTATTATTATTGTTATTATTGTTGTTGTTATTATTGTTATTGTTATTATTGTTATTGTTATTATTGTTGTTATTGTTGTTGTTATTATTATTATTATTATTGTTATTATTATTGTTATTATTGTTGTTGTATTATTATTATTATTATTATTATTATTATTATTATACAGTGGACAGCTGGAACGTGTCGCGGCCCGGTGAACTCCACTGTAATGATCTGTTATGGTGAAGAAGTTACAATAATTCAGTTTACTATAAACTTCTGTAACTGTGCTATAATGTTTATATATATATATATAATATTGTAATATTATATATATTGTAATATTATATAAATATATAATATTGTAATATTATATAAATATATAATATTGTAATATTACTTTACTTAAATATACTGTCAAATATTCCCGCTTCATAAATTACCCATAATGCAATATAAACGTGATGTTTATTGATGTATAAATATAAATATCTATTATAAACAGTATTTCATCTATTACACAGTAAATATCTGTGAAACAATTCTAGATTTGCTAAATGTTTTTAAATCAGCACTAATTATATGATCATTTATCAATAATAATAATAATAATAATCAATAAATAAACAATAATAACATCAATAGAAATCCACAGTGAACCAGTGGAACCAGTACAGACTGGGAGGGACCGCAGGAGGCCAGAAACCATCAACCACAACAACCATCAGACCTTCAGTGAGTAAAACGATCTGATCAGATCCATATCGATCCTCTGATACCGATCAGATCCATATCGATCCTCTGATATCCGTTTATTCACAATAAAAGCTGTTTCTGACCTCTGAGCTGCTTTTTAGCTGCAGCTTTTTCTCTGACGACGTTTCTGATTCATCAGCTCCTCCATCCATCCTCCATCCTCCATCCTCCCTCCCTCCTCCATCCTCCATCCTCTGTCTGCGAGGAGGAGGAGGACAAAAAGAACAGGACGCACCCCCAAAACCCCGCATGAAGGACGGATGAGCACAAACCAAACGAACCGCAGTCCGACCTTCAGTCCGCAGCCTCCCGTCAGACCTGCGCCAGCAACCGCTCTTATTGTCTCTAATGCGGACCGAACCGGACCGAGCCGAGCACAGCCGAGCCGAGCCGGGACGGACCGGATCGGGCGGATCCGGCAGAGACGGGCAGAGACCGGCAGAGACCGTTTACCCGAAATAAAACGGATTAAATAAGAGATAAATGTGAGTTAAGGGCTGAAAGAGAGGGAGCGGTCGGTCCTTACCTCATGACTCCATCCAGAGCTGAAGATCACTGAGGGAGAGAGAGAGAGAGAGAGAGAGGAGGGGGGAGGGGAGAGAGAGAGAGGAGAGAGAGAGAGAGAGGGAGAGAGAGGGAGAGAGAGAGAGGAGGCGGAGAGAGAGAGAGACAGAGAGAGAGAGAGAGAGAGAGAGAGAGAGAGAGAGAGAGAGATGGGGGTGCCCTAGTTTCGATGATCAGATTCATAATAGAATAGAATGATATTATATATTATAATATATATATAATAATATATTATAATTATTATATTAGATTATATGATATTATATTAAATTAATATATATATAATATTATAATATATATTAATTCATTATTATATAATATAATATTACATTATATCATATTATATTAAATTAATATATATTATATTATAATATATATTCATTTATTATTATATAATATAATATTACATTATATCATATTATATTAAATTAATATATATTATATATTCATATATTATTATATAATAATAATAAATAATACATATAATATATACCTTCAGTGGAACAAATGAGGAAAATCTAATTGAAATAATTCTCAGAAATCATCCAATCAATCAATTAAAGCTGCACACAGCATTGATCTGGTCTGTGCACATCATGCACTGCAAAAAAAAGCAAATATTAAAATTTAAAAATAATTATTAATTATTCTTTTAAAAAAAAAAAAAAAATTTTTTTTTTTTTTATTTTAAAAAAAAAATTTTTTTTTTTTTTTTTTTTTTTTTTTTTTTTTTTTTTTTTTTTTTTTTTTTTTTTAAAAAATTTTTTTTTTTTTTTTTTTTTTTTTTTTTAAAATTTTTTTTTTATTTAATTTTTTTTAATTTTTTTTTTTTTTTTTAAAAAAAAAACACCCCCTTTTTTTAAAAATTTTTTTTTTTTTTTTTTTTTTAAATTATTAAATATTTTTTTTTTAAAAATTTTTTTTATTTTTTTTTTTTTTTTTATATTATAGAAAAATTTTTTTTTTGTGGTGGTTTTTAGGGTCAAGGGTTTTATTCACTGTAATAAAATTATTGTAACACAGAAAATAGTTCTTGATTGAGTAGTTTTCATTGGGTATTTGGTTTTTACAGTACAAATAAAAATTACAAAACTAAGTCAGTGTCACTTCAAATTATTAAAGCTACTCATCAAGAATATTTTTTTTCTTATAAAATTTTGTTTTATTTAAAATATTTGATGTGATCAATTGTTTTGAGTTAAATCAACTTATCGGGTTTTACAGTGTTGAATCCTGAACAGAACCGGATCAAGAATCAGAGCTAATCTGGTGGAAACGGGTCCTCCTGGTCCACAGTGCTCTTCCAAATAGTTTCAATTTGGAACCACAATTGCTTTTGAACCATTCATCTGACCTCCGCCCAGTATCTATCGCAGTTTACCTCCATACTAATCATGGTTGTATGTGAGCGCTGCGCTCGTTAACGTAGCAGGTTGATACTGAAAATAAATATTAGAGGAAATGCAACTTATTTTAGAGATTCCTTTTTAGTCACTAATAGAAGTTTCTGTCTGCAGTTCTTTAACCGTCCACCAGAGGGCGCCACAGGCTTGTTCCTGTCTCCTGCTGCAGCTTCTGAACACTGACAGTGAGTTCTTCCTCCTAATGCACCATGTGACAATAATCAATCAGTTATTGATCAGCCCTGATACATAACAGGAAGTTTATTATTAATGTCCATAATGAGAGTTTGTTTACTTTCACTTGTAATGATTTCTGTGAACTTTATTTATACACAGGCAGTAATAGATTACATGTAACAGGGTTATCAGATACAACAAAAGGTAACTGTAATCTATTACATTTACAGTTAGTAAAAATGTTTATTTATCAGGATTACAGTTTTAAAACATTACTATTTCCATCAGTTTTTATTTAATTTGTTCACATTTTGATGGTAAAAATCTTCTATTGTTCTTATAGGATACAGTTAGATCAATACTGCCCTCCAGAGGCGAACAGCAGTAACTACATATTTATTTATTGTATATTCATTTGTTGTTTATTTCATATTAATGTTGTTTTTCTTTCTTTTAGAACAAACAAAAGATAAAATGTACATTTTGTTATTTATCTGAATTCACTCTTTAAAGGATTCTTGTTCTGTCTGTGTGGAATAATTAACTATTAATTATTAAACTTATAATATTTAATATAACTATACTGAATGTTTTATTCTGTGATCAGAAAGGATGTTGTGATGTTTAGATGATATAAATAATAAGATGATCAATGAGAGTAAAAGGATTAATATTAAACTTTAAATACAGACTGACTGATATTTTATATTTATATTTTATATCTGCAGTTATTTCCAAACTGTTTCTGATTATTTGATCTGAGATTTGTTTTAAATATGTAAAAATAAAAAGCTTTTACGTTTCATTTATGTGATGTGTATATGTATAATTTGTGAATATTAACATTATTATTATTATCATCAATCTAATAGATTTTAATGTTTCTATTTTCTCTGTTGATGACGTGTCTGAGTGACGCTGATGAAGGTGTGGAGGGAAAATGTATTTTTACTTTGGAGGAGGAGGAAGTATGGAAGCCTGTTTGTGCCAATGTGACGTAAAAAGGAGTTTGTGAGTCGTTATAATGATAAAATACTTTTAAAATAATATATATATTTTTTTAAATAATTATTATTTTGAGAAAATCCTTTTCAGTTTCTCAAAATAATAATTACAGAATATATTTTTTTCATCACGTTGGCGGAACTGGGCTTCCATAGAATGATGAGGAGGAGGAGGAGGAGGAGGAGGAGGAGGAAGAAGAAGAGGAGGAGGAGGTGAATGGCTGGAGGCTGAAAATATGACTTCCGCTCAGCAGTTATAGCCTTCAAAATAAGAGTGAAAACTGATTTTTTTTTTTTTTGAGGTGGATTTGTTCATTTATTGTGACCTTTATTTTATCATTTACATTTTAACTATAAACAACCAGCCTGAGTGTAACCTATTTTATTTTATTTCACATCATTTATATTTTTATAAAATGAACTTATATACACTAATATCTGGATTTCCGGACAGAAATGAAGATTTTCTGCTGTTTGAACTGCAAATTTACCAAAATCAGGCTTTTATTCTTAAAACCTGCCGAATAAACGGGAGCGGAAGTGTGGAGTTGTTTTCGCAGCGGAGCGGAGGAAGGAGGTGATGGAGGGAGGAGGAGGAGGAGGAGAAAGAGGAGGGCTGATGTGTGCTGATCAGCAGCAGGTCTGATGATGATGATGATGATGATGATGGGTGGTGATGGTGATGATGATGTGAGTCAGAGAGCGGAGGGTTCAGGATGCTCACAGCCGCTCCAGAGTAGACCAATCCCGGACACAGAGACACTGAGGACCCGCCTGAGGAGACACGGTGAGTCCGCAGACATCACACCGACACTCGCACACTGACAGCGGGGAGCGGGCAGTCAGCAGCCCGGGCAGCGGAGCTCCACTGTCGGCGTGAATTCACCGACCGGCCCGGTGCTGCTGGATGGAGCTCTAATTTCATAACTGTGCGTGTGTGTGTGTGTGTGTGTGTGTGTGTGTGTGTGTGTGTGTGTGAATGTGTGTGTGTGTGTGCACGCTCATCCAAGCGACCGTGTGCGCGTGCCCGAGCCGTCCTTACTATTGATGGAGTCAGACTGATTAACATGATGAGAGCAGATAATAAGAGTCTGACCGCAGCTGATTGAAAGTGAGAACAAAGCAGAGAGAGAGAGTGTGTGTGTGTGTGTGTGTGTGTGTGTGTGTGTGTGTGTGTGTGTGTGTGTGTGTGTGTGTGTGTGTGTGTGTGTGTGTGTGTGTGTGTGTGTGTGTATGTGTGTGTGTGTGTGTGTGTGTCGTGAGGACAGTCTGGTACTGGAGCAGAAATATTGAGTGTATGCTGTAGTACTTATATTATTTATCTTTATTAAATAAAAATATGTAATTTAGAGTTAATGTCATTATATTATTGGTTTATTGCAGTGTTGGAAAGTAGAAATATATTTATATTTAAATTTCATTAGCAGTGAATCATGTTTCAGAGTGCACACAAAGAGCAACCATTAGCAGCACACTGCTGTTAGAATGATCCTGATCAGCCAGTGTCAGTAATCAATACTCACATTAATAAAGCAATAATCAATAAACACCGTCAGACAACCTGATCAGCCTTCAGCAGTTAGCTAGTGTTTCTGTAACTCTAGAAACACGAGCTAAAGGCCGTCATATGTCCACAGTCTGACTGTCAATACAGGATCAATATCATCCATACAGATACAGTGTATACAGATCAATATCATCCATAAAGATACAGTGTATACAGATCAATATCATCCATAAAGATACAGTGTATACTGATCAATATCATCCATAAAGATACAGTGTATACTGATCAATAATCCATACAGATACAGTGTATACTGATCAATATAATTTATTTAGTTGAAGTTATAAATTACAGAAGAAACTAAAACTCAAATAAAATTTGAGTATGAGAACTTTATTATTTTCTCATGAAAACATCAGTATGAATAATATAAAAATATAATATAATAATATAATTAAATAATAATGTAAAAATATAATAATATAATAATGTAATTATATAATGATGTAATAATATAATAAAATAATAATATAATAATATAATAGTATAATAAAAAAAATGTCAAAGAAAAAAAAAAAAAGAGAAAAATAAAAGAATAGATAAAATATAATAAAATAATAAATAATAAGTAAAAATATAATGATGTAATAATATAATAATGTAATTAAATAATAATATAATAATATAATAGTATAATAAAATAATAATGTCATAATGTAAAAATATAATAATATAATAATATAATAATGTAATTAAATAATAATATAATAAAATAATAATATAATAATGTAAAAATATAATGATGTAATAATATAATAATGTAATTAAATAATAATATAATAATATAATAGTATAATAAAATAATAATGTCATAATGTAAAAATATAATAATATAATAATATAATAATGTAATTAGATAATAATATAATAATGTAATAATGAGTCTGACTGACTGAAGTACTTTGAGTTTTAATTCTGTCAGTAAACTGAGCTGATAGTATGTTGGTATTTGTATTATTGATGATTATTGATGATTATTGATGGACTTTAGCTGTTGGTATTCACAGCGCAGATGTTCCCACGCGTCCTGGAAAATCTGGAAAACCTGGAAATGTAGAGACTAGTTTTCCAGTCAAGGACCCACCTGGAAATGTATTAAAATGACCAAATATCCTGGAAGTTGATGTTGTCCAGGAACATTTAACTGTTTCGTACAGCCATCATTCCTGTTATTAGTACAGGAAAGGAGGACATTTGCATTGCATTGTGGGTACAATAATGGCCACCCTGGAGAAATGGAGTAAATTGAGTTTGCATACCAATGTTTTTATGTGGAGTACCACAAGGCTCCATCCTGGGTCATTTGATCATATTTATATTTATTGATAATCAGAAGAATATTACAAACACTGTTGCAGCAAAATACTTAATTTCAGAGTGTTA